GGGGAGGTGGGGGGTCCAACAGAAGGAAGGGTTTTGGACCAGGGTGAAGCATTCCTGAGCATCACTTTATGGCCCTGGGTGGTCCCAGGAGGGGTGTGGGGGCACGTACCATCCTAAATCTGCTGTGTTTGAAAAGCCCAGAGTGGAAAGGGGAAAAGGAGGGAGTGAGGTGGGGTTGGAGTAGCAGATTTCAGGAGGGGAGATGGGGTAAATTTGGTTTGGGGGTCACGGCTTGTGTGTCCCAGCCAGCTGAGCAGCGAGGTGCCTTCCTCAAGAAACCCCACTTCCCGGGCAGGCATCCTGGCCTGGAGTGAGCAACACCAGCTTATCCCTCCTCAGCGGTGGTTTGGGGAGGGCTCCGATGAGGGGACAGGGGGTGTGGGATGCCCCCGGCTCCCCGGGCATGTCAGTGGGCGAAGGGCTGCGGTGCCACATGGTGTTCACGGTCATTCCCATCGCAGCTGGGCTCTTTTCCCCAGGTGTCACCCTTCTGCCAGCCCCGAAAAGCTGCCTCAATCCAGAGCCTGCACCCCCTCCTGGGCAAGGCACCCCGCGCCAGCGCCTACCTCCTGCCCCAGGCCGTGGCCGACAGGTAGGATGGGTCCCAGAACGTCCCCACTGTGCCTGGGAAGGCTATTTTGGGGTGCTTGGCCATGGCCAGAGGCCCCATCTCCCAGTCTCCAGCACCTTCCAGGGGTCCCCACTGACCCCATCTCCCTTCTCCCCCCTGCAGGAAGGGGGGCTCAGGGCCACGGCGCTCGCTGAGCGTGGAGGACATCGGGGCGCCCGGCCGGCTGCGTGCGGTGGGACGCGTGGTGGAGGTCTTCCCCGATGGCACCAGCCAGCTGGAGCTGCAGCGACCCCCCCACGGCGCATTTGGGTTCTGTGTCACCTCCGGGCACGGCCGGCCTGACACAGGTACGGTGGGGTCATCCCAAAGCATCACATGAACTTTAGGGGAGGCACAGCAGGACCCCTCTGTGGTGGCTCTCGTCCCTCCCCAGAAGCAAGCTTGGGGATGGATGGAGGGGCTGCTCCGTCCCTGCTGAGCCCCAAAGGGGTGATGGTGGATGGGGGGATGCTGCCACATGTGGCTTTGGCCACACGCAGTCCCATGTGTCCAGCATCCCTTGGCTTGGGACACGTAGCCTGTCCCAAAGGCCACCTACAGTGAACTTGTTGCTGTGCACGGGCCCAGTGTGCAGCCCCTGGGGGGCACAGCCCCGACCATAGGGTGCAGGGTGTAAGGGGGCTCATCCACTCCTGTCCCCCTCCGCAGGTGTCTACGTGCAGGAGATGGCAGATGCCGGCACGGCCAAGCTGTACGCGGGGCTCCTGGGCGTGGGGGATGAGATCCTGCAGGTCAACGGGGCGGCCGTTTCGGGGCTGGGGCTGGCCCGCATCCGCGAGCCGCTTCTCCCGGCGGGTCACCTCTC